TCTATGAAAGAAATTTTCGCTCTAAATATACGAAAACTTTTTTATTCTTTTCTAGTCTTTTCTAGACTTTTCTTTTTCTTATTCACCGTACTGTGTGAACCCTTCGTAGTATAACGCGTAAGAAAAAAAAGATTAGAATGGAAAAAGGAGGGCGGGGGGAGGGGCGATAAGCGAATAAATCAGCCCTTTTTAAAGATTTGTCGTGATAACACCGGTCAGATAACCTCTGAACTCAGCAGAATTTTCATGGGGCCGATTTCATCAGTTATCGACCCCCTCCTTTTTGTATATTTATGGAGATAATTTCTTTCATAAAAACAATACCGTACGATTTCCTTATCTGATTAAATTTCAGCATACAAGGTGAGAATACTACTGCCTAGACCTTTGAGCTTTTTTTTGAGAAAATTACGTGCCATCTTCGAAAATAAAAGTTGTAAAGTCAAAATATAAGCGATCTTTTAATATTTTTGTGTAGTTCAGTAGCTCTTATAAGTACATTCATAGTCATCGTATTAATACTTGTCTTCGTCGTCTTTTTTTTCATACATATATCCGAACCAGCTGTGGATTGCATGATATTTTCCTTCTTCTATAAAGAATTTCAAACGCTATCTTTTGATGAAAAAAAGTGCACTTCAACTAAGAAGAAAAGAGAAATTGTATAAATACTAATAGCACAATTTTTTATGTGACATCTCTTATATAACTTAACATAGAATTAAGAAAACATGCAAGAGATACAATTCTTAATTAATGCTTAACTTGATTTTGAAATTCATTGATTAATAATATACACACCCTGCCCAATAACTTTCAAATCAAGTAGACATTATTTTGTCTACTTTTATATAGACGATATACTGTGATGTTAGTCATGGTAATAGTATGATTCAAACAAATGATTAGAATATCGTTATTTTTTTTTTACTTATTCTTAAAAGATAATAACTAATCGTAGATCTATTTATATCTGAATGTATAAAAAAATTCGTATCGGTTAAGATTTTTCTCTCTTGTTCATTATGTATTGTATGTAATCCTTGACATATATTGTTATTTTTATTTTTAAAATAACAACAGCTATGAATCTTTGCATAAACAATAAAATAATAAATTAAATTTTGAAATCAAATGTCTATACAACAAACTTTTTCTGTCGGCTATTAATAGTGAAAAAAAAAGATTTTTTTTTCTCTATAAATCATAGTTATATAAATAGCGAATATTAGTTCTACAATGATATGAAATTGAGTCATTCAAATGGTATGTGACACAGACAAGTCAAGAAAATAAACTTTTTTTTCTTTTTCTTTCATACGTCATCAACGACAATCTAGGCATCATCAACGATCAAATATATAGAACGAAAATTGATGTAAATATATTAGTATGAAAATTTTTCCAATGATAATTTTATCTTCTTTGAATGTAATCCAATCTAATTTTTCTTTTACAATAATAAGAGAATAAAGAACGAATGTAAGCAAGTGAAAATAAAACCCACGTATTCTATACTCAGAAACAATTCGGACGATAGTCAATCGTCTGTGAATCATTTTTTCCTTTTCTTCTTCTTCTTCTTCTTATTTTCTCTCTCTCTCTCCGTCTGTTCCTTTACCGATAATAAATAGACATTGAGCCTGGCTAGTTTTAGTCATACTAGCGGATGGTTGTGACGAGAAAGGCATAATTTATCGAAAGCGTAAGTGATTTTTTTATAATACACTCTTTGATTTTAATCGATTGTTTCATGCTGTTATTTATTTACAGTTTGACAATCGCAATTAGCGATCATTAAACATGACCACGAGTATAGATATTGCGGTCTGTCTTGATCGCTCATCATCAATTGCATTTTATTCCAAACAAATTCGTTTAAGTCTTCGTTCAATTTTAAACAGAGCTCTATCATGTCATCAAAGTGATGTTCGTATGGCATTAATTGAATTTCAATCACATTCACATCATTGGCGAACAAATATACATCCATTTACTTCATCGGGTGATGAATTTCACGAATGGATTGATGCTATCGAAATTGAAAACGGAAATCTCAATGAAAACAAAGCAATTGGTAAAAAATAAAATAAATAATTTTTTTTATAATATTTTTTTTTCGTTAATTTAGTCGATGCACTTGGCGCAACTTTAACACTTGATTGGCGTCCTAATGTAAGTCATATTTATCTTTATTTTTGATCAAATATATATCTTTTTCTCTTTTTATAAAGAATAATATCAATCGATATCATGAAAAACTCGTAATTTTGATTACAGATGGTGCTCCATGTAGTTTACTTGATGATACATGTGCTTGTAATAGTAATGATCTTTGGCGATTATCTGATGAATTTGAAAAACAAGATATTACATTAGTTGTTATTGGTATTGAACCAAGTATTATAATTTACGATGATTTCTATTGTGCATTAGCAAATAAAACAGGTAAGAAAAAGAGAAAAAAAAAACATTTCGTATTTTTATAACTTTATATCGTAAAAACTTCAGGTGGTATTTATCTTCCATTTATCAATGCAACACGTGTTCTTTCTTCTGTTATTCAACGAGCCATATTAGGAGAAGACACATTATCACAATTATTTCGTCGGCTTGATATTCATAATGATATTGAATATAATTCTCTATATCATTACAAGTATGTACAAAAAAGAGTAGATTTTATGATGGAATATTGTCGAACAATGGCTGATATTCGAAAATGGTTATATCCAGTTCATCATCCATCAACAGAATATATTACTGGTGGAATGAATGTTGATGATGATGATGATAATTTCGAACCTGGTTCTCCATCATTGGAAACAAATTATTTGTTATGTCCAAGTATTAACATTTATTTTACTCCAATAACCGATGATGAAGGTTATCGAACAAGATTGCCGACGACGGCATCAGGCGACTCAAGTTATAATGTGGTTGGCTCATCACCTGTTTCATCAATTCGTACGGATTTGGATTTGTATAGTGAAATTGACGATGACTGCTTTTAAAAAAAAAAAAACTTTTTACCCGTTAGTTATTTTTCTTCTCTTTCAAATAGTATTTTCGACTCTCAAATAGAAGAAATCAAGATTTTTATAGTAGAATTAAACATTCTCTCTTTTCTCCTTTACCTTACACTATTTATATTATATTTCCCTGTTTTGTGTATGCATTCATTAAGACTTAATTTGTCTTCTTTCATTTCTTTCATTATTATAATTAAACAAGAAGATGTGACTTTCGCTTCTTTTCATTTATTGATTCTTTCGCTTACTTTACGAATGTTATTTTTGTTGCGTGCTACATTTTTTTCTGCTATTTAGAACGTTCGTTTTTCTAACCTTTTTTTTCTCTATTACATATGTTCTCGTTTGTATCTTTATCTACATTTTGATTAACACATGCCCTTCGTTGTTCATATTCACGAAGATATATCATTGTAAGGAAAATAACATTTATATGATGTTAAAAAAAAAAGAAAAGAGATTAATAGAACAGCATTTTTTCGATCTTATTTTTTTTTAAACTTTTGAACAAAAAAAAATAAATTTTAACGATCTAAATCAATTATTAATTAATTTGTTTATACATAAAAAAGAAATCAATTTCATCTGTTAATTGTCTATTATGAATAATGCGTAATGATAAGATCGGTAAAGACATTACGAACATTTATTTTTTTACATTACATTTGAGAAGAAAAAATGAAAACATTTGGGGTTTCCTATTGTGAAATAGCCACAATATCTTTCTTCCGCTAGAATAATTGGTTTTATCCAGTATGTCATTCTTATACTAAGAGAAAAGAACGTATATTTATTTAACGTGATATCTTCTGAATCATTTTTGTAAGAAAGCTGACTCATCGATTTACTGCAATACGAAAGAAAGATTGTTAGCCTTTATAATGATGGTTGTTTAATTTTATTAAGATAATATATCAAAAATATAAATAGTGTATAATATATTTTTTTATTTTGAAATAACTATTTTTCTATTGCAAATAATAATAGTTAAGATACTGTATAGTACAATAGACATTGTTTTGATTTAAAAACAAAACAAAAATAGTTTGCATAAACAATGCATGTATGAAAAAATTTCTTCTGATAAGTATCGTCATAAAAATATTTATTTTATTACTTATGTATGATGTGAAGAGTTACATAAAATGCCGCCACCTGTTGAATCTTGTTGTTAATTGATCACATCCGTGCTCATCTTATTAATCACTGATTTCGATAGAAGTGAAAAACGTGACACGTTTTATTAAGAATAATTTGAATTAGACTAAAAGAGCACACCGGATGATTTTGTCTGGAGAATATCAAGAGAAATGATGTAATTGGTCTGCCTATACTTTAATACATGGCATCATCTAGTCGAAAAAAAAACATCTATATACTTATGTTGCTAGATTTTTCATAGAAAATTTATTTAAATAGTAGATCATCCAATTGAACTTTGTTATCTTATATTTTGTTGTTATTTATTTTCATAACAGAAAATCATATGGAAATCAGCTGTGTATGTTATTGCGTCATACTTCTAACGCAAAGCAAAGTCCATAATGACTAACGCACATAACTATGTATTTGTACAATGTATTACAACAATTTCATATTTTCTTTAAAAGAAAATGGTAGAGTTGTCGTTCTCTCTTTATAAATAGTCGCCCTATATAAATTGATACGTATTCTTAGAAGTTCTTTTAGTATATACAATCACTACATCTCTCTTTTTTTCTTTCCTTTGTTGACTACTACACCGTATACATCTTTTTTTTTCTCTTTCGTCTTACTCAGTCACTCGGCGGCGTTCGTCTTGTATTTCTCTCTCCCTCTCCTATCTACTACTAATAATCTAGCAATTCGAGAGACTAAACAAAACATATTATTAAATGTTAAAAACATTTTTATCTTTTATTATTCTATTTTATTTTTTAGCTGATAGTTATCATGTCGTACTCCACTATGACTGAATCAATGGACATTGCCTTTGTTATGGCTGATACATCATTAAGAGATCCTTTTTTCCCAAATGTAAAACATATGGTTTTATCGATTATTAATCCTTTATTACAACAAAATTATGATATTCGTTTTCGTTTAATCAAATTTAATTCTGGTAATGGCATACCAACAATATCAACAGTATATCCGTTTACAGATTCATCTGAAATTTTTCAACAATGGCTTCGTACTGGTGATGATGGAGCTATAGGAGCAAATACTCAAAATATAACTATCTGTAAGATATTATTTTTTTACGATCGAAGTTTTTTCTTTTACGTATCTATTTTTAGGTGATGCATTACGAGAAGCTCTTAATTCTGAATGGCGTACAGGAGTAAGAATTTTTTTTTAATAACTAAATGAAGCTTATTTTCTATTACGTTTATTTACAGGATTCTAATCGATGCCATGAAAATGTTGTTTTTTTGGTTACAGACAATGTTCCATGTCCATATTTACTTAATACAACCGATAATCGTAATTATAATCGTTTATGTGCTTGTGATAATCTCTGGACAATTTCTAATGCATTTGTTAAAAAGAATATTACATTAATGGTTGTAGGTGTTGGTCAGATTACTAGTATATGTGATAGTTTATACGGTTCGATAGCTAAAAATACAGGTAAATGTTTTCTTTTTATCATACTTTTATTTTAATATGTAATTTATTTGTTCAGGTGGAGAATATATTCCTTTAATAAATGCAATCCATGTTTTGCATTTGGTACTTCAATCAATTTTAATAGAAGGTGATACATTGCTACAAGCACTTCGTCATATAAAACAAGAAGAATTCGAAAGAAATTCATCCTATTGTTGTTCAGTAATACAAATTGCAGATTCTTCTAGCATGAAGCACCGTCATATAGCAGCTTGGTTACCCAATCATTTACAATGAATTAATTATTATATTTACGAGGATGATGCATCTATCAGTTTATTTTTAGTATTTCGTCTTTTATTTTTCTAAAACAGTAAAAAAAACAATTTTTTTGTAATAGTAAATGCTACTATCAACGATGGTTATGAATGCTTGATTAATATATTGTTATTTTTTTACTCTTTAAGAAATAAAAAAAAATGATTGGTTCACTTTTGATCCATTAATTTATATTGATATTAATAGCTAGTGTCATCTATAGAAAGTCTTCTTTAAATTAATTGAATATGAATAATTCCGGATTTATTTCTATGAAATATTTTATTAAAATAAATAGTTTTTCTTATCAATGAAATAATTCTTTTTTATAAATTAATCTTGTATATTAATACACCAATCAGAACTATTTTGATTATGATGTTGTTTATTTGTTAGTGTACTATTGCATTTATTTATTCATTTTCAAATGAGAAGAATTGGATCAGTCTTTTTTTACTTTTTGAATATATAGAAATTTTGATTAAGAAAATATTTCATATTTTAGATCGCATTAGGCAAACATGCCGCGCGTTCCGCTTGTCTATAACAAGACCTATTCGACACCTCGTCGTCCATATGAAAAAGAACGTCTCGATCAAGAACTCGAACTTATCGGAAAATTCGGTTTACGAAACAAACGTGAAGTATGGCGTGTTCGTTATACATTGGCTAAAATTCGTAAAGCTGCCCGTGAATTATTAACACTCGATGAAAGAGAACCAAAACGATTATTTGAGGGTTAGTTATAATAGGAAAATTCTTTTTTTTCTATTATAAACTTAACATAATTTATTTCTTATTTTAAGGTAATGCTTTACTTCGTCGTCTTGTTCGAATTGGTGTACTTGATGAATCTAAAATGAAACTCGATTACGTTTTGGGTTTAAAAGTTGAAGATTTTTTGGAACGACGTCTTCAAACACAACTTTTACGACTTGCTCTCGCTAAAAGTATTCATCATGCACGTGTACTTATTCGACAACGTCATATTCGGTAAGATAAATAGAATTTAATAGTAGATATTTATTTATTTTTCATCTTCTTTATTAAATAGTGTACGTAAACAAGTGGTTAATATTCCATCATTCATTGTTCGACTTGATTCACAAAAACATATTGATTTTGCTCTTCGTTCACCATTATCCAGCGGTGGTCGACCAGGTATGTTCTCTTAAATATTAAAATTTCTTTAACTAACATTATATTTCTTTTTAAGGTCGCGTTAAACGAAAAAATATGCGAAAAGGCGAAAAAGGTGCCAAAGAAGATGAAGATGCCGATGAAGATTAAACCTTATTCGAATAAACATACACACAAACAAACAAATTATTCAACAAGACAGTCATTAATGACTACCATCTTTTCTTTTTTTTGTAATTGTGTTGTATGTGTTCTTGTTTTTGTCGACGTGATTGTCATCGAATACAAGATTAAAGAAAAAAGAAGAAAATAACCGATGTATTCTCTAAATAGAGAAGAAAAGATTTTAATTATTTTTTCATTTTTTCATCTATAACAATATTTCGAAATAGGATAGAGATGTTTCCAATTGAGTATTGTCTGAATATATTGATAGAGAAATTCATTAATATTTTTATTTAAGAAGTATTTCTTCGTTACATGTGAGAAAACAAAATGATGCAATAATTACGCTAAGATCTTTTAAGGTACTAATTAATTTATACACGAGTATTTTCCTACCAGAAAGGTTTTGATAGTAGTCCTATAACATATTTATTCCATTACTTCCTTAAGTAAATTAGACAATATAAAGTTTTCTTTAGTATTATGATTTACATAGACATCTATCATTTCTATTAGATAGTATCTTTAATCCATTGAATACCTTTAATAATCCAAAATTATCAATCAAATAATATTCTGGTGTAATAATCGTTTATAGAAAACTTTTCTTTGTCTGATCATGTTTTCTCGAGTAGCCATTCATCTAACACGTTGTAATTCAGCATCACTTCGAAGTTCTCGACTTGTTTTACCTTCACATCCTTATCGTCGTTTATTTGAACTACCACGACGTGGTCAGATACGCCCATGGTACCGTCGTTTTTGGCCATTAACCATTGCATTTACTGTTGTTTCAACTGGTATACCAATTGGTTATATTGTTTACAAAGATTTTCTACAAGAATCATGGATGAAAAAAGATAAAACATCAGAAGAAAATTTCGATGAAAATAGTGAATCTGTATCTCAATCTGAACTTGATACACTTCTTTCACAAACTCAACAATTACTTAATTCTGAACTTTATTTAAATCGTTCGTCTGCCTTTATTGTACCTATACGTTTATTCTTTCGTACATTAAAACTTATTATTATCTTTACTCCTGTTATTATTTTCTATTTCATCCAAGACAAATTTGCTCCACATTTATATGAAAAATGGTGTTTTACGCTTCGACGGTAAGCTTTCTATTTCATATACTTATTATTATTTATTATTATTCATACATATTCAGATCATTTGAATTTTGTGGTCCTTGTTTTATTAAACTTGGTCAATGGATGGCAACTCGTCCTGATTTATTCTCTACTCAATTTTGCTCAATATTTAATGAACTTCATTCAAATGCTCCAGTACATTCAGAATCTCAGACACGAAAATTATTACATGATAATAATATACATATAAAATCTACATCAACAGATTTTCTTTCTAAACCATTAGCAAGTGGTGCAATAGCACAAGTTTATCGATGTAAAGTTGGTAATCTTGATTTAATAATGAAAGTTCGTCATCCAAATGTTCAAAATAAAATTTATTATGATTTAAAAATATTAAATATTTTTACACGTGTATTAACAAAATTCTCAAGAGATCAATTTAAATGGCTTAATCTTGAAGATAATATTCATTCATTTACAAAAAATATGTTATTACAAACAAATTTAGTGATTGAAACAAAAAATTTACAAATATTTGAAAGAAATTTTGAAAAATATAAATCAAATATACGTTTTCCACATGTTGATCCATCATTACCATCAACAAAAGATATTCTCTTTCAAACTTATGAAAATGGACAAATATTAAATGATTTTATGGATACATGCAAAGATCCAAAAATTCGAAAGAAATTAGCATATCTCGGTGTTAATGCTTATTTGAAAATGCTTTTTGTTGATAATTTTGTAAGTTTATCGATTACGAAAAACTATACTAGAGAGGACGACATTCAATTCTAGTTTATAATATTACTATGAAATAGGGTGACGTTATTAACCCTCTGTTGATGTTGTGAGGTCCAAGAGGATCCACTTCGCACCTTTTGACTAAATTCTCTCTTAGGAGTTTCTGTTTCTGATCGGTTCTCACATCAATTATCTAGTCGTTTTTTGGTACACACTACCCATATGAGAAATCATGAGTAGGTCTAACGGGGAAAAAATGCAGCTACGAGTCCTTGTGAACCCCATAACAACTATGGTGCTATAATCTTATTTTATATGGTGATATTGCTGCTATTTATTCTCTCGCAGTGATGTTTCCTTCCTAACGATTTGTTTCGATTGATTTTTATCTTCGCTACTGATAATAATGACTTACATTTAGTAAAAAGAGCGTGAAATCTGTCATATCCAGCTTATGTCAATATCATTTTCAAAAGATTTTGCTCAATTCTTATTTTTACTATAGAGCCGTTTTACAGTGCTTATCACGAAATGCGTTCATATCGTAATAAAACTGAAGCATCTATATGTTTATAATATACAAATGAAAAGCTTTAGTGACGCTAAAACTTTATTTTTTGATGAACTTTTATGAGCGGGTCCAAAATGGACCCCAAAACAGCCACGAAGGGTGAACAGGTATTCGATGCAATACTGAGTTTTGTCTTCTATAATATCACATAGAAAGTAAAGAATTTAATTATACTAATGTATCATCAGATCCTCTAAGGCATACTTCTTAAAATTAGATTCAAGCTTTTTAGAACATCAGTTAAGATAGCTTTTTAATAAATATATACTTTACATTTGGTGAACTAATGAATATGAAGACAAAGATTTTTATTACATAATTTCTTACTCGATTTAAATCATAGCAATGACTTCCGCACATTCTTGTCATTTTTATACATCATAAAAAAACTATTTTATTTGATCTTTTAATCTTAAGATTCATGCTGATCTACATCCGGGTAATATTCTTGTTCATCTTAATGAAAAATCACCTCATGAACCAATAATAATATTTCTTGACGTTGGTTTAACATCTTCACTTAGTCGAAGTGATAAAAAGAATTTTTATGATTTATTTCGTGCAATAGCAAATTATGATAGTACAGAAGCAGCAACATTAATAATTGAACGTGCACCAAATGCAAAAGAAATCGATGAACAATCAAAAATTGGTTTTCGAAAAGAAATGGCTGTCTTAATTGAAGATGTTATTCGAACACCATTAAAACAAGTTGAAGTTGGATTAGTTTTACGTAATGTATTAGATTTAGGAAAGAAATATCATATTAAATTAGAATCAAATTTTACAACACTTGCTCTTGGAACAATTATTATTGAAGGTATCGGTAGACAACTTGATCCAGATCTAGATTTTGTTAGTGCTGCAAGACCATTTTTACAAAAAGATTTTCGACTTGTTAAAAGTTATTTAAATGGAGTTTTTCAACGAAATATTGCTAATACATCGTGGTGGTCACGATTATTTAATAAAACTGAACAAAATTTAGCTTAATTTACAAATGCTTTTAGATACATTGTTTTCTTTTACTTAATAAAATAAATAAACATGAAATTTCGTGCCAAATTACACAATAGTACAACGATCAATAAATTTACAAGTATGTTTCAATATTCATGATAAAAATAGCTTCATACTTGATTTTACATTTTTTGCTTTGTACTTACATCGAACCTCATAGAGAGAAAAATGTTAAGCTTTTCAAAAACAAACGAAAAAAGAATATTTATGTATGATTACGATTTTTTCTTACATTAGAAATTATAACTGGTGTATCGAAAATGGCCAAATCTGGAGTACTTCGTTTAACACCTGATAAATTATTTTTAATTTTGGGTGATAAATCATTTGGTGGTGGTGTTTCACTTTGGATTGAACTTGATCCGGTTCGATTCTTTGATGATTATATTATGGATGGTTTATCACCATTAGCCAATGAAATTTATATTGAAATTATGTTTGAAGAATTAGTACGTGCTCTTAAACCAGCACAAGCAGCTCGATTACTTAAACTTCGTTTAATTAAAAAACATAACAATCCATGTTTAAGTATCGATACAGAAGTTGTATGTTTTATTATAAGAAGAAAAAAAAAGGATTATTTCGAAGATTATCTTTAGATATCATCATCTATGACTGAACGACAATTTACATGTGATATTCCTATTCATTTATTAGCACATAAACATTGGTAAATACTTTCTATTTCTACAGAAGACAAAAACTAATACAAAATGTATCTTGTAGGATTGATTTTCAAGCTCCAAATATTCCTTTATGTGATGTAAGTAAATTATATATATATATTTTTGTTTTATATATCACAATTTATACAAGAGAAAAAAAACTGACTATAATAAACAAGACTAGCAACAATAATAGAAATATATGTTTGTTGATATAGAAAAATTGTTCCACTCGGTGTAGGTATTGTTGTAACTTGAATAATTAAACGTTCATTAGCTGCACAATGACTTATACAATCAAGTTGTGAACATAAATCATGATAATATTTAAATGAATCTTTACATGTTGTCGAAATATTAAGTGGTTTTTTGATTAATGTTGAATTTGTTTTACGGACGGCAGGTAATTGTAATTTTTGATGTGGTAATTCATATGCATAACCACCACGACATTCTTGACCTGTATAAGCAACTGATTGCCTATTATGTAATAAATAACTAAATGAACAATTACATATTAAAGGATTATTTTCTAAATAAATTGTTGAACGTGCAAAATTTTTGAATATACAAGGATGAATTGTTTCCAATTGATTTGCACGTAAATGTAAATTTAATGTTGTATGACTTGTTGAATGTTGTAAACCATGAAATGAACATGTATCAAGTGTTGTTATATTATTTCCACTTAGATTAAGTTTAGTTAAACGTTTAAGTGATAAAAATTCACATGAACCGATTTGACTAAGATTATTTGATGTTATTTTTAAATGATTTAATTCATTAAGATAACCACTATAAAATGCTTGAGTAATATTTTCTATATAATTATGAGATAAATCAAGATATTTTAAACGATATAAACCAGTCCATATATGTGCAGTTATTGTACGTATTTGATTATGTTCTAATTTTAATAAACGTAAATTAACAAGATAGGAGAAAACATTTGTTTCTAATAGTGTTATTTGATTATGTGATAAATCAAGGTAATCAATAAGAAATGGACCAGCAAATGCATTTGGATGTCTTTGAAATGTTAAAATATCAATTGATATGATTTTATTATAGGATAAATCAACTCGGGTTAAACGATGAGCAAATCCAAATGCATATGCTGGTAATTGATATATATTATTATATGATAAATATATTTCATATAAACCTGTTGCATTATATAAAGCTTGAAGAGGTATAGAATCAAGTGAATTATGATCGAGATAAAGATTTGATATTGGTGGAGGTTCACCGGATAATGATAATGTAAATAGATTGATTTGTTTAGTTTTTTTTCGTAATTCTAATGTTAATTCAGTTAGAAGACGTGTTTCTTCTGCATTCGTTGATGTTATTGAACGTTTCAATTTCAGAAGTTCTTTTATATTATTATTTTCCTATTTATTATAAAAGTAAATAATAATTTCTTTTTTTTTTTCTATGTTAATTAAGTTTTAATTTACCTCTTCCTCCGATTTATCATTTTCATAATCATCGAATAATTGAAATTGATCATCAATAATAGGTAAATGTCGTTGACTAGGCCATATATCAATTAAATGTCGATGAGTTATATTTAATTGCACAATAAGATCATAAGAAAGTGAACCAGAAAATATCAAATGATGTATATGCATATTATCCGGTATCCATTTTCTTTTATTATTTAATGTTAAATTTTCAAATAAATTAAAAGATAAATCAATATTCCATTCAATAAGTGTATTATTTGTTGAAATTTTTGTTAAAATTGGTAAAGTTTTTAATTTTCGATAGAAACAATCAATCCATAAACGTTTACTTTCAATTTCACATATACATTGACATGGTGTTGATACTGGACAAGGTTGTATATATTGATGATTTGTACGTATATCAGTATTTGTTGAATAGAAATATGGTGAACATGCTGACATAGATGATGTATGGACGGATGATGATAAGTTAATGATGTTAAGAATAAAAGTCATTGTTAGAATAAGTGACGACAATAAATTATTATTAGGAAATGAAGAAAAAGAAAGAGGAAAAGAAGAAGAAAAAGGCACTTCGATGCACCATTGCATTCTTCCTCATAGTTTTAATATTCTTAAATGACGGCCCATAGATATCGTCGCCTAACGATGTGAACTAAAAATACTAGAAGAAGAGAAAAAAAGTCGTAAATATATATAGAAATAATATTATAATAGTTTTTTTTCTTCGTTGTTTTCGGCAATTGTGTTAGTCAACTGAAATGATTGAAGTCATGGCTAGATATTTTCTCTAGTGATATGATAAGATAGTGTAAAAAAAAAGGAGAAAACAACATAGAATAGAACTAAAGAAATACTGTTTATTCTAGTTATTGCTAACTCAATGGTATACAAAAAATATATATATGCATGTCAATTGACGTTACTATTGACTCGATCTTTCCTTCCCATTGTATTAATCATCATTTTCTCTCTAGCGTCTCAATGACCTTGACAATTTATTGAAGTGATATAAGTCACGTTTCCTATTACACTCAAGATTAGTATTATTATTATGATTATAGGTTATATTCTATTTTATTTCTCTATTGAGCCATTAAAAATATTTAAAACAAGTTTAATCTTCTTAATATGTTTTTATTAAGTAAATGATAAAGCCATAGGCATCCGAAACAACTTACCACTAATACGGCAAGACTTGACAAACAAACGAACTAGTTTTTATTGTGGTTGTCTATCTAATAGTATCTCATTTTCTTTCAACTGACAGAAAAACTCTTTCTTTCGGCTACTATATTATATGTGTGTGTGTGTGCATGCAGTATGAAGGTTGCGATTGCTAAAGAGAAACGACGCGCGCTCTAGTCAAAAGAGAGAAACCAAAAGAAAGAAATAGACAAACGAGAAGTGGAAAAGCGCAATGTGCGTGTGCTTGCCGCTAAGGAATAGTAGAATAAGAAAAGAACTGACGGCGGTGGATTATTACCGTCATCGGGAGCATGAGAAATAATAACGCAAAGAACTGCAGTATGCAAACATACACTTACATACATACGCATACAGATAGAGAAATTCTAGTATAAGGCAAAGTCAACATGCGTCATCAACATATTTAAAGGACAATGTCTGGAAATGAAGGAATAGGAAAAAAAAAGAGAAATCAATGAGAGAAAATATTATTTCTGTTCTTTTCACTAGGGCCTGTCTCAATTAAAACTATCTGGAGCAGTGTTGATGCGATGATAAAAAAGGATTACGAGAAATATTAGATCGATTTCCGTTCTTCTTCCGACCATGATGAAGTGGAAATAGAACGAACTAACTACATCGCCCCAAGTTAAATTGACAAGAAATGAAGAATAAAGATAATATTGTGTTCTTACTTTAGTAGCTTAGAATCAATGAGCCATACAAATCTCAATAGATACGATTATTATTGTTGTTGTTGTTATTGCTGCTTTTGCTCTTGTTGTTGTTGTTGTTATTGTTCTTGCTCTTGCTCTTGCTCTTGTTGTTGCCGTTTTTTCGTGTTATTGCTGAGATAATAAGTGTTAATACTCAACTAAAGGTCAATTTCTTGGCATGTTGTAACGAACGCCTGCTAAGGCATATCATATATTAATATAGACCCTAAAGAAACATCTTACTTATGATATTTATGTAATCATATAACCTGTACTAATATATAAATCTATATAGCTAACTAGTTAAAAAAAATAAAAGAAATTTATTTTTTCTTTAGATTAGTATTACAATTCCTAAATTAAAAACATTAAAAAATATTATTGATCGAATGAAAGCTATGTGTAATTTTCTTGTAAGTTTTAATTCGATAGAAAGACAAAAAAAGAAGAAGTCTATCTTTGTTTTTGCATAGACATTACAAGCAAATAAATCAGGTGATATGACAGTAAAAGTCGAGACGGATACTGCTCAAGTAGCAACATATTTTACAGGTCTTCAAGAAACATCAGGAATACGTATGCAAATTCTTATCTAAATAGATGATCAAAATAAATCAAATATTTAGATGCTAATGGCAATGATCAATCGCAGTTGGATATGACAACAACGCAACAATCAAATTTATCATCATCAGATTCTCTTGAGACAGCTGAAGTACGTTTAGATATTAAAAAATTTGCTCAATTACTTCATGCTCAACAACCATATGCTGAAAAAATGGTTTTTAGTATGTAACAACAAAAAAGAAAATCTTTTAATTCATTTCTCATTATTTTTCTTTAGATTTCTGTAATAATAGTATGTTACATATATGTATTGTTGCAGAATATTTTACACTTCAATGTATTTTACCTTCAATTCAACTGTAATAGTCAGATTATTTTTCTTTGTTACATATATATATACTCTAAAAGATATTTTATCTCTATGTGTCATATAAACATTCTCTATACAAGATAATATTTCAGATGACTACAACAGAACCAACAAAACTTGATACATTCCGAGCTAAAATTGAACAACGTAAAGCTTGTGAAAAGAAAGCATTTGATACATGTATAAAATTAATTGAAGAAGACAAAGTCGATAATGAAACATTAATTAATGCAGTAAGTATCAATCAATTTCTTCCTCTGTCAATCAAGATTTTTCTATAAATATAGGCGATTTTGATTGATCAAGAACGATATCGAGGTATTAATGAAGATCGTGCATTAGGTCATAAATGTGGTTATCCTATTTGTTCCAATTCATTACCAAAAGATGTAAGTTGGAATATGTTTTCCAAATGTTATTTATACATACGATTTATTTATAGATTCCAACTCATCAATATCATATTAATGTTAAATTAAATAAAGTAATCGATACAACAGAACGACGAGTAAAAAAAAAATAAAATTTTTCGAATTAAAAAAAAACAAAATTTTTATTTTAGTTTTTTTGTTCAACATTTTGTTACAAAGCATCAAAATATTTCGAACGTCAAATTCCTAAATCACCTGTTTGGGCTCGTGAACAACAGCAAGAAACTAATAGTTCATTAAACATTGAATTATTAACACAAGAAAATTTAGAGTAAAATAAATTAAAAAAAATTGTTTTTTTTGCAAAAATATTATTTTTAGTAAAGTAAAACACGATAATAGTACAATTATATCTCAATCAAACTATATTCGTTCAATTCCTACACGTCGTGAATCATCTTCATCATCATCATCATCCGAAGATGAATTCGAAGAATTACAAATAGCTCGTGATGCATATTATAAATCACGAGCTACAGTATTACAAAAACCATCTTTAGTTGAAACAAAACTTAAACAAATCTCATTACCTGATCATATTCGAACAGATAATACAACGATTGATTTTGCTATTACCTGTTTATATGAATGGTTAACAAATAAAACAAAAGATTATTTACATAATGATAATACAGAAGCATCTGTTACATCAATTAATCCTGAACGATATGAACAATTAGTAAATAAACTAAATGTACAAGATATCATAACATCCGATGGTGTTCGAGCTGAGAAAAAACTTCCATCTTTAAAAGAATTACAAAAAACAACAGCTGAAACTCAATATGAAGTTAAAGTAAAAGAATTTTTCTTTGGTAAAGGTGACATAAAAGAAGAGGTATGACATTTTGTTAAGTGCTATTTATAACTTGAATGTATTTAACAGGAAACAACACAATCATCTGCTATAATATTACCTCCAGTTGATGCCTACTCTCAGCAAACAATTCGCTTGTCAATTGTTAGTGAAAAAATCATGACATGGTATGTTTGTTATTTCCTTTTTTTCTCTTTATTATGACAGAACAAAAGTTTTTTTTGCAGTTTCAAACAAATCTTCAATGAAGAAGCGCCACAAAGTATAATAAAAGATTTAAGATTAACACTATCAGAAATATTATTAACATTGAAGTAATATCGATAAAAGCAAATTTAGTATTAATTTTTGTATCTACATTTAGTTTCACTAGTGAAAATATAGCTTTAAATTCAAATGAATGGACAATTATGACTTTATTTCTTATTCATTTGTATGTATAAAATAGATTTTATTTAAAATATATTTTCTTATTTTCTATATTTTAGATTAACAATAAAACTACCAATGTTATTGACTCATATAACAGAATCGAAAATAATCGAAGCATTATTAACTAGATTGAATCTATCTTCTGATATGATTATTCATATTATAAAATATTTACTTGAACATCCCATTGATAATTCACAATTATCAAAACCTTTAACAAATTTTGAAGATGTTGATTAATTAAATAAATAAAAATATATTTTTCTTTTATTTTATTCTAGATATGCAATTAGGACAACGAGCTGGTCAAACAGTATTTAAAGATTTACTTGAATCAGATACAGTCAATATTGAAAAATTAAAACAATATGTTCAAAAGCAATCTATTGTTACTGAATTTAAACCACTCTGTTGGAAAATTCTATTAGGTTTATTAATCTATAAAGAAGAAAAAAACGATTATTAAAAATAAATTACCTTTTTTTTTTATTAGATATTAAATCCCCATATCGTGCGACACGTCGATATGTTGATCAAGCTAATTGTGACATATATAAACGTCTTCATTCAACATTAACAACTTGTCAAATAATTCAAAATGATACATCGATTTCCCAACAATTTCTTTCAATGTATTTACTTGATTCACATGCAATAAAAATACCTATTACTTCTACGGTAAAAATTTTTTTGCAAAAAAAAAAAAAGTAATCTGATTTTCATGATAATATAGAAAGAATATGAATCATTTCTATCAACTGCTAATTTTATTTGTTCATTTCTTGATAATGATAACGAACAACGATTAGATGTAATTGCTGAATGTTGGTTTATGACTTGTAAAATGTATGATAAATTTATTCATCTAACTCGACGTATAGCTTTTCTTGTACGTAAGTAAATATTTCAAATTGATAATAAATTTTCTTAAATATTTCAAAACAGCGATATCATGTTGGTAAAATTGCTCAACAAGAATTTGTTTATGAATCGAAATTATTACTTCATTTAAATACACATAATATATTTGTATCTATACCAGAGAATTGGCTTAAAGATGGTTTTCAATTAATAAGAGATGATTTTTCATTATTAAAGTAATTTTTTTTTATATGGAATATTGTATATAGATAAAGATTTATTTAGTATTTGGGAAAAATTTATTGCTGGTAGTGAATATATATTTGTTTTTTTAACAATTCATATTCTTCATTATTGTCGTGGAAAATTGCTTAGTTTATATTCAACAAAAGAAATTATACAATATCTTATTGATCTCAAGGTAAATCATTTCTCTTAAATGATTGGTCTAAAATTTAACTTATTCTATTAATTAGGATTATCATAGATTTATGAATAAGATCTCTCTATCTTGTCATTTTCTGAATAGAAAGGACTTTTATCTATACTAGTTCAAGTTATAGAAAATCCTTATTTAACCTACATCTATAAGCATAAATATAAATCAAAGTATTGAATTCATATGATTCTATATAGGATTCCGAAACCTTTTTTTATGTAATGGTTTATGCCTTAGATATTATCAAGGTTTTTATTTTTTTTAAACATTTATTAAAGATTGATGATCAAGCAGCTTGTGAACATATAGCCATAGCATCAGTTGCATCATGGAAAAAACAAGGTAATTCATTACTCAGTTTTCCTGCTATTCCATAATTAATCAGTCAATCTTGTCATTCAACCTACTTTTTGCACAAGTAAATGATCAATTCATCATATAATATATCTTTGTTTTCTTCTTTCTGTTATAGGTGTGATCAAATGTAAAAAAAACAATCATTCATCTTTTTCTTTGCTCAAAATTTGCTGTTCATTTTGTACACTTGCTATTTTTTCTCTACTATACAAATTGTATTTTCTTTTTTTCTTTTTGTCTATTTCTTATATCGTGCTCAATATATTTTAAAGTATGCCTATTAACTATGGTGAAATATATTAAGTCATAGAGCAATTATTGTTGATCGATAAAGAAAGGTAGAATATAATCGTATCCATATGCTAGATAGAAAGAAAACGACGACGATGAAGAAATTCATGCTGAGCGAGCAACCTGTCACATACTCGTGCCACTTTGTGTCTTTTCTTCATCACTATTTGATTAACATGTACATCTATGTAAATGCCATTTAAACTAAAGAAATATCTTTTGTGTTGATTAACTCGAATGAAGACAATCAAGTGATTCGTATAGTTTCTTTTTCAGTCTTAATACCCCTCGGAGAAGATATTCTTTCTACGTCTATAATGCACCTGGATAGGCTTCGGGTGACATTTGACTGCTCTCATATTTCGTCTTTTTTTTACTACTCATAGTAGCTAGTTGATTAGCAGATGGACAATGAGCAAGAATTGTGTGAGAATAAACGAGTGGAAACAAAAAAAAAAAGAAAAAGACGAAGAGAATGCTCGTTGACTTGCATATAATGGAGACATGCGCTTCACACTTGTTGGTTAGAAAAAGGATGCAATTAGCAGATTGAACGACTAGAGAAAAGAGCGAGAAAGCATATTGCATCGATGAAATTCGAATGACGCTTGTCACAATATGTCAATGATGATCATGATATGGACGATCAAATCGAACTCTATGGAATGGTTCAATATCAACTAAATTAATAATGAAAAATAATAAGAAGAAAAAAAAGACTTTTAAAAAGTTCAAAATATCTTTAAAAAAGGTTTTTTACTGATTAAAACAAATGTTCTACTTCCTGGTTATTGTCTATAGTGTGTGACACTTCATAGGAGAGTGCAAAATAAAAGAGAACCTGTGCTCAAATTTATTTTTCTGTTTCTTTTCAATAGTTAACACACATTAAATTCCTTGGAGAAAAAGAAGAAACGAACATTAATATATAATACATAGACTATTCATATATACTAACTCTGAACCACCTATCAGAATCACATGGGACTATCGTCTCTTATTCTTTTTTTTGTTCATTGAGGTGTGAGCAACAACAATGTGAATTTGATGAAGAGCGTGATCAATGTTCATACTTTTTGTTCTCATTCGTCAATCGCACGGGAACAAGATTTTTTTTCTCCTGTATAACATGCAATGTCATCGGTAGATTTAGTGAATTTTATGTAGACAGACAAATATATACATGAATACAAAAAAACAAAAGTGTGAATGTGATCATCGTCACCATTACTATTCAAAAAAAGCTAAAGTGTTAACACGAGTATAATATTCTTCAGGGAAATCAACATAAAACACTTTTTTTTATATTTGTAACTTTTCGTATATAAATATATGGCAATTTTTAAAAACGTAAAATTAAAACTTTGTTCTTTTCCATCTGTTCGAAAGTTTTTCGTTCTATCTTATCTCTTTTTTTTTTCTTCTTTTATGAATGAACATAGTCGCGTGCGCGACAAAGTTTTTTTTTTTATTTAGTTCATGCGTGTATATGATCCGATAGATAGTTCACGCCAGAATCAATGATAACGATCTGCAAACGGGAGGGAATGAGGGCGTATGCTCACCGGATAAGATCAATGGGAAAAGAAAAGAGAAGAGAAAAAAGAAAGAGTTACTACTTCTTCTTCTCCTCCTTCGTCCGCTTCTTTTCTTTTTTTTTTCTTATATCTTTTTCCTCATTGGTTAACATATTTTTTCATGAACGAATGAATACGAGAAAAAAAAAGAAACAAACGTCTGCCTTGCCTTACATTTGCTCATAAGAAAAGGAAGCGAAGAAGATAAGTGTGTGTGTGTGTATGTGGATAGTGATAATAATACAAGAAAAAATTGATTGATTTCGAATAGAATAAAATTAATAATTATGACATTTAACAATGAAACAAATATTGTCTTAGGAAATAAACATAATAATGATCAACAGCAACATGAACATCGAACAGGTAGATAAAAAACACATTTTTGTATTTTTCTTTTCTATCATTTTGCTGACTTGACATATTTCAAAAATTTTGATGTCAATCATTGTTTGATGATAAAGAAAAGAAAAAGAGATTAATGTCAACATTATATATCTATTCTAATCCGATTGGTAAAATAGAAATGTCATCATTTGTCTCTATGGTAGGAGCAGTAATTACAATATATGATTGTTCTGTATGTTCATTGCCAATATGTGATCAATTTGTTTTTAAAGTTAATGAAAATCATTTCCACTCATTATGTTTAAACTGTTCGGAATGCCATATTAAACTATTTGATAAATGTTATGCGAGAGATGGAAATGTTTATTGTAAAGAAGATTTTTTTAAGTAAGTTAACAAAAATGAAAACTTTTTGTTTAAAGAAAAAAACTAATATAATTTTTTTGTTTTAATAGAAAATTTGGTACAAAATGTGCATCTTGTGGTAATGGTATTCCACCATCTGAAGTTGTACGACGTGCAAGTGATTATGTTTATCATTTACATTGTTTTTCTTGTTTAATTTGTCATCGTCAATTGAATACAGGTGATGAGTTTTATTTAATAGATGATCAAAAACTTGTTTGTAAAATTGATTATGAAACGCTAAAAAATAAAGGTAAAACGAATTTTTATTTTTTTATAAATCTCAAATAAAATAAAGGCTTGATTTTAGAATTTGATGATACAAATAAAAGACCACGTACAACTATAACACAAAAACAACTTGAAATTCTTAAACAAGCTTATAATACAAGTCCAAAACCAGCTAGACATGTACGTGAAACATTAGCAGCTGAAACTGGTTTAGATATGCGTGTTGTACAAGTTTGGTATGCATATATTAATGAAGACTTTAATAGTCTAATATGAGTTTCTTTTAAATAATTAAGGTTTCAAAATCGTCGTGCAAAAGAAAAACGATTGAAGAAAGATTCTGGTAGACGATGGCCAAATGTTTTACGTAATGGAGCAGTTGAACGAAAAAATACACGAATGAAAACACGAAAAAATCAAAGTATACATCAGGATGAAGATACAAGTAATGAAGGTGATACTGCTGTATCTTATGATGGTAAGAATTATGAAATAAAAAAAAAATATATTATAGGATAATTTTTTCTCATCATAGAATTATCAGAACATGATTCAGACGATTCTTTATCTCATATTCATAATAATAATCCTGTTTATTCTGATGTTATCTCTCGTGGAGCACATCCACCATCCAATGAATTAATTCCATTTGATTCTCCATATACTGAAGCGAATGGATTTCTTGGTGGACCATCTCGTACATCATCGTATCAAACACAAGGTGGATTACTACCAACAAATTCATTTTCATCATCGTCATCATCAATTACAGTTAATGATGATCACGCATCATCATCCGAACTTGATTATTGTACACTTGTTACAACAGGTATTACAACAGCAGGAGTGCCAAATGGAAATAATATTGAATTTGGACATCATCATTGGCTTGATAATCAATCATTGACTGGACAGCAATAATTTCTTGTCATTTTTTGTAAAAAAAAAACAATGTTAATTTATCGTTTTCACAGTGTCACCTAGTCACGCGAGATCTTTTTTCTTTGCAGTGTTGTTGTTTTGTCTTGTTTATCTAAACGTATTATAACAGAATATATGAATGATCTGAATTAGTATCAATAGTATTATTATTATTATTAGAGATGACCAAAAAAAAAATATCATGACTAGAAATCTTCGTTTGACGTATTTTAAACATATACCAGTAGACACGTACAGCGCTCAGAAAATATTCAATTAACAGATATATGCATATACCAATAGTTTGAATCCATAGCAGAATCAAATATTAGAAATTAGATTCATAAAAATAATCGATATAAATTCTTCTACAAAAAATATATTAACAGGTCTATCAAAACCTATTCAAATTATAAGTGCATATTATTTTAAGTATAAAAAAAATCTTTTGTTTTGTCGATATATAAAGGGAGTTCCTCGTCAGAAAAAGCACTGTTTCGAAGAAAAATCAAAATTGAATATTTTACATAGAAAGATGTGCCGAAGCTTCCTCTTTCGGAATATATGTAGGTTTTCACAAAGCAATAAAGTTTTCATAGACTTAGCACGAAAATCTTGACCTTACTATTTTGTTTTTTGATAAATTTTCTCAAATTTGAAAGAACTGCGTTGCCACTGCCATTAACATTGAATACAATATTTTAAAGTGAGTACTAAGCATATAACAACCCGTCTTGTGGTTGAGAGAACCATTTTGAGGGTGTGGGTGTGAGTATAGATTTTCCCTTTATCTCACCCACACCCACACCCACCATCAAGATGGTTTAAACATTTATCTCTGATTCTGATGTCTTCGAAATAGATGAATAGAAGTGTCATAATACAATTCTCAAAAACAAGAAGTCTTGTTGAATAACTTCAATTTTTTATTTTCAAAATTGGATGATATTGAAATGCCTTCAATAGATTTTTGTCATCTATATGCAGATAACATTTTTTCATGTTGTTCCTGTTTTTTTTATTTCATTTCTTTTAATGTGCCAATGTAGGTTCACACGTGAAGAAAGAAAACGAGAAATAAGATCAATATGAAAAGAGGAGAAGATAAAAGAAAGGAATAATAAAAATAAAAGATGTCACATTATCGTTTAACGACCTCACGTGTACAAATAAATATATATGTACATAATAGTATTTGCAGAAGAGGATGAGAGAAAGTGTGATAGAGATAATGGATGAATGGAAGCGTAAGTCACGTGTGTGATTTCTCATTTATAGTTTTATTTGCTGGTTTTCTTCGTCATATAGTTTCGTTTCTCAAGTCTGTTAATGCAATATATATTCACTATAAGTGTATAAATCTATATGTATAAGTATGTAAGACAGCATAGGAAATATAGATCGAATTCGACTCCAGCTGAGTCAGTGATGTATATTTAAGAAACATGAAGAAATCTAGGGAAATACTTATAACATAGAAAACAGTGTGAATGATGATAAAAAGAAAAATCTTGGAAGAAATTTCTTATACTATAAAACGATACATTATTCTCATTTATTTATAGATATTTCTTCCTGAAGCAGTCCACATTACAATCAACAATGGACAACTACACATCAATAACATCAGGTCACCAACATGGTGAAAACGATATCTCAATCAGCTTTACGGCATCAAAAAAAAAGCTTGATCGTTTAGATCCATCATTTATCTATACTCAGATCCTGAAAGAGATCCTATCAACCATCAACTTCGAAGATAAGCATTTCGAAGAATTTATTACTTATTGTCGTACAACAATTGGTAAAACTATTACTGATCTTAATATAATTGAAGCATTCAGACGTGGCTATGACAAAAAAGAAGCTATTAAGTGGTACACGTCTGAATGTTTTTTATATACGATGCTTAATCAAGCATTAAGATCAATGGATGTTGATATTATTGTTCGAATGGGCTTCTTTATTAATGATCTACATCGTCATATTCAAGAACTTCATTCGAATCAATTTGGTAGTCAACAATCTGGTAAAACATTTACAGTTTATCGTGGACAATGTCTTTCAAATGAAGATTTCGACGAAATGATAAACAATAAAGGTGGACTTCTATCATTTAATAACTTTTTATCAACTAGTACAAAACGTGATGTTTCTCTCTTTTTCGCACCACAAGATGCTACAAATTCTGAACTTACTGGAATTCTATTTGTTATATCAATTAATCCTACGGATTCAACAGCTACATTTGCTTCTATTAGACATGTTAGTCATCATGATGTTGAAGATGAAATCCTCTTCTCTATGCATACCATTTTTCGCATTGGAGATATTAAACCAACGAAAGAAAACAAGCATGTCCAAGAAGTGAATTTAACATTGACCAGGGATACCGACGAAGAACGTCTTACTCTTACTAAGCGTATACTGCAAGAGACCTGTCCCAATTCGAACGGATGGTACAGATTAGGTCAATTACTAATTCAAATGGGTCAGTCTGACAAGGCTGAAGAAGTTTATGAAGATTTACTTAGTCAAGCAACGCATGAGAGTGACAAGGCAAGTATTTATCATCAATTAGGTTGGAACAAATATAATCAAGGAAATTATGAAGCAGCACTTACACATTATAAAAAAACACTTGATATCTATCAACAATTATCTCTTCCTAATCATCTTGAATTAGCTAATACCTGTAACAACATCGGTTTGGTATATCACAACCTGAATGATTGGTATATGGCACTTTATCATCTTGAATTCGCCCTTGGGATTCGACTAGATTCACTTTCTCAGAATCATCTTGATTTGGCTATATCTCATAATAACATCGGTTTGGTATATTACAAGAAATGTTTTTATTATACAGCACTCTATCATTGTAAATTAGCCCTGAAAATTCGACAACAACTTCCTGCTAATCATCCTGATTTGGGTACGTCTCATAATAATATTGGCTTGGTATATTTCAGCATACATTATTATCGTGAAGCACTTAATCATCTTGAATTAGCCCTTGCGATTCGACTAGAATCACTTCTTTCTAATCATCTTGATTTAGGTGCTTCTTATAACAACATTGGTTTGGTGCATGAGAAAATGGGCAACTATTCAGAAGCTCATTCATTTTATGAACGTGCTGTACAAAATGGACAAGAACCATTATCATCAGATCATCAAATTCTTCAACAACGAAAAGAAAACCTCGAACGCTTGAAAAAGAAATTATAATTTTGTTTTTGTTTTTGTATTTTTTTTTTGAATGTAAAATAAAACTGATGAAAGACAAAATGTGTCTATATTGCAACTCTGTTCTGGTTGAGAATAATGAACCGTAAGGCTCATCGGTAAGATAAACAATGCATATCGAAAAGACATATTATAGAAAAGACTTTTACAGTTATATTATTATGTCTGAACAAGTAGAGTTTCGTTACGTTCGATAAGAAAGAAAGATACTCAAGAAAAATATAAAAAGAGAGAAAAAGTTTATTCTATCAGTAGAATAAATTATTCTTTCTGTTTCAATATTAAAGAATAGTTCATACTATTGATAAACTCATCCATATTAAAAGACTAGAATCAATACTTTCATATATAAATAAATATAATTATATATGAAATTCTGTCTTAGTCCGTCTCTATGATGATACCGAATGATGATATGAGCTTATATAGACGACTAATTTTAATATATGATCATTGTTCACAATGACGCTTACATCTTCTGTTTTTACACCATGCAAAAGAAGATAACTATCTAGCTGCTCGCTCTGTTGATGAGTTTGATCGTGATCATGCGCAATGTAGTATTGTTGCAATTAAAATCAGTCATGTAAATATGGCTTCCGCAGTAGCAGCAGGATGGAAATTTCAACTTAATATAATAATTATAAGAATAGTTGCTTTTTCTATAAACAATCCGTTACGATTTAAAAGTTTATTAATCGGTTTTGCAAGTGTTTTTCTTATGATCTCGATTTTGTATGTGAGAAGATTCTTTTGAGTGTCAACACTCGCTAACTACTGAAGTCTTAAATGCATAATCATCAGACATGTAGACTCGATTTTTCTACTCAAGACTAATTCCAAAAGCATGGATATGGATATTATTCTCATTTATCATGAACAAAATGTAAAATAGCTTGACGAAATAGTTGTATTTAAAGAAAATCATTTAATTATTTTGATAAATCTTTTAATAAATATATAATTTTCTTGATTAAAAAATGTCCATTTATAGTATTGTTTATTAATTCAATTGATTTGTTCTTCCATTAATGAAACTAATCGGTTGAAACTATCATAAGTATCAATTATATTTAATTTTCAATGAAAGAAATTCTTATATTCGTTTTTTTTATGAATAATGTATAAAAATCGAATCGGTTTTATTATCTGGATAAAAATAAATGAAAATTATACTTTCTTTATATTCATCATCTTCATGACTATTCAATTTTAATTTGTAAAACAAAAATATTGAATTATATTTGAAATATATAATCAAAGATAAATTAAATTATTTTTGTTATCTTGAAGAAAGTAATGTTGATTTACTTTGAGATAAGATACAAAAAACGAATAAATCAGCGTATTTCTTCTTTTTCGATAGTTATTAACATATCATTCAATTTTTTTTGTCTAACAAATATATTTTATGAGGTATACATAAACAAACTTATTAACTGTACAATAGAAACAGAACGGGCAAGTTCTCAATCATATTAATATCTATACAAAATGGAAACAACATGGAATTACTATTGCTGGAGGTAATGAATATGGCAATCAATTAAACCAACTCACTCGTCCTCAAGGTATCTATGTTGATGATGATCATCAAACTATTTATATTGCTGATTGTTCGAATCATCGTATTGTTGAACGGACATATGGAGCAAAGAATGGTGAAATTGTTGTAGGTGGAAATGGAAGTGATCAATTGAATAGTCCAACACATGTAATTGTTGATAAAAAGAATGATCCTCTCATCATTTGTGATCAAGGAAATAGATGACTGGTACGATGGTCTCATCAAAATGGTAAAAATGGAGAAACAATCATTTCTGACATTCATTGCTCTCGTCTAACTATGGATAAAAATGGAGATCTTAATGTTTCTGATGAGAAGAAGAATGAAGTGAGACGATGGAAACATGGAGAGAACGATGGAACAATAGTAGTAGGTGGAAATGGACAAGGAAATCGTCTCAGTCAACTCTATTATCCTACTTATATCTTTGTTGATGAAGATCGTTCAATTTATGTATCGGATCGTCGCAATGATCGTGTGATGAAATGGATGAAAGTTGCAAAAGAAGGTATTGTTGTTGCTGCTGGCAAAGGTCGGGGGAATAGTTTGACACAACTATCTAATCCTCAAGGAGTGATTGTCGATCATTTGGGTAATGTTTATGTGGTTGATTGTTACAATCATCGAATAATGCGTTGGTGTGAAGGGTGTTGCGAAGGTAGTATTGTTGTTGGTGGAAATGGAAAAGGAGATGAACCAAATCAGTTCAATCATCTCGGAGGTTTATCATTCGATGTTCAAGGTAATATCTATGTTGTCGATGGGTTTAATCATCAAATACAAAAATTTGAAATTGATTTGAATTAAATTTGTTGATATTGGTGATGAAATAAATAATTAAATTTTTTGTGAAAATATTTGTTTATTTTGATTAAAAAATAAATAAATATAAAAATTAAAAATGAATTTGTTTTAATAATTAAATTAAGTTTGATTTATTGATACATATCTGTTTCGATGTAATTTGTTAAAATAAATAAATTTTTTATATTTTTAGTTTACAATAATAAAATAAAAATTTGATTTATTTGTTAATTCTGTTGTGATTGGTTTCATATTGTATTTTAATAACTAAAATAAAATTTTCTAATCCGATGGAGATACATATAAAACGGAGTTTTTAATTCTATTGTAGATGAGATAATCTAAGTGGATAGAAAAGTAAGATAGAATACTATTTTCGTGTTTTAAAGTTGTGTGTGTATGAATAAATAAAACGAATGCTAAGATGAAATGAAATAGATCGAATGAATACGTTGTGTAAATAAAATAATTTTCAAAATAAACGAATTTGTTAATTTGTTTTATTTGATCTGTTGTGTTAATAACAATAATAATGACAATGAAATATTTGTTATTTTAGTTCTGAATTTGTGATTCGTAATTAAATAAAAAGATAAAGAATATTTGAATGATGAATTGATCGATTTTGTGATAAAATAAGATTTGATGATATTGTTGTTTGTCATTGATAAAATAATGAAAGAAGAAGAGATAATAGTGACGATGTTTTATAGATAAAATATAAATGATATTAGTTGATTTGTTCATTGAATTGATTTTGACAAATTTTGTATAAATAAATGAGACAATTTATTTTCTTCAATCGATTGAAAGGAAAGAAGAATTGTAAAATATGTGAATAACTGTTATATTATACTCTTCAGATTTGTACGGAAAAAATTGAAGTTAAAAACTGATTGAAAGTTTAATTATGTACAATCAGAGTATCTCCACCATAGCAAAATGACAAGCACATTTGATTCTATGATAAATTTATTATTAAAGAGACAAAAAAGATTGTCATTAAATAAGATTTTTATAGAAAAGAATCAAAAGGTTATTATAAAATTTAATCAAGGATAATCTCACTTGTTACTGTTCTAGAAATTAAATGAAAATTGTCTTTCTATGATCATTGTCAGATGTCTATGTGTCTTTGATAAAATGAAGATAAATGACAACTGAATCTGAATTTGATTAAGAATTAAATGAAATTATTACAATTTCAATAAGCGAAATTAAACAATAAAATAATTATTTTTGGTGGGCGTGTGGATGTGTGTGTAGGTAAAATATATATGGATAATTTATCCACACCCACACCCACACTCACACCCTCAAGATGGTCAGTTTTTAGTTCTCGTCATTTTTTCGGGTTCTTCCCTTTCAACAAGTAATTGCAACAATATGTAAAATATATGATGCATGACGAATATATATTCATTCACGTAGGAAGAAAAAATTATAACACATCGTATCACCTACATATAACGTTACACAGCACACATTTCATCAGGACTCCACAATGACAAATCACACTGTCGTGAACTTTCATACGTTACCAATAGAACTTGTTTATCGAATTCTGGATCATCAATCGGATCTCACAATGCTATGCTCAATGACCAATGTATGTCAACGGTTCAACATGATCTTAAACACCTATCATCGATATCAGGTAAATCTTTTTTTTGTTATGACAGTTTAGTTTTTGACCATTGACTCACAAATTATTTTTGATTCCTACAATCTCTATACAAATAGAATTACTTTGATAAAATGCACGTAAATAAAGTAATTTATCACTTATTCATATCTTTCCAAAACTCATTTTCTATATCATGACAATTCAAAAATGACGTCCTCATAATTAGAAAAAAATAGTTCGTTTTTTTATCGTTTCAATCTCATCTAAACACTTTTTTATTGCTATTTCAATAATAAAAATAACATTTTGAAAGAAAATAACAAATGTATAAACTAGCTAGTTTATCTTGTTATAAATAACATCTCCGAAACTTACTTAAGAAATATCTTTCACAAATGCTCCCCTGAAAGTATGGGCATGGTGACTGTAGCTATGCGTAATGACGAATGTAGACGGAGAGCAGATCAACTCACATAAACATTTATCCTCTCATACAATCAAATTACTTACAATTATACTAGCCAAGTGGAACATTTTATCAAGAAGAGCTACTTCCAAAGCAATTTTTTTTTCAAAAACGTTGCCCCGAAACGCATTTCACCTAAGGGAGTTTTTCTCAAAAACAAAATTGCAAGAGTAATTCATTGCCAAAAATAAAACATCGATACACTTCGGAAGAGATTAGTTTAATTTGACGTTTTAGCATGTATTCGCCATTCATTCATTATGAATCAGACATTATCCAATAAATTCTTCGACTCTTCCGTTTTTATTAATCAATATTGTTTTACACACATAACTATGTAGTATCATCGAAAGCATCTGCCGAAATCTATGAATATTCTTACAAAAACGAAATATTTGCATTAATTTACATAAATCAGATATCTTACGCAAGATTCTCATGAAAAACATATCTGCAGTATCGTCGCTGAACATAAGCGAAACTCATTTACAGCCTATGAATATGAAACTATATTTGTTCAATACCTACACGATACTAACAGACGATACAAGACTGCAACTTGTTTCGCGCAGTAGCAATTCATCCACTATTATTTATAACTCGAAACTTTTTCCTTCTTTCACAAAAACAATTTAAGAACTAAAGCTACTGGTAGATAGAAAACTCACCCATATGCAATCTTCTCTAACTTCTTTTTCACTCAGCTTTTTATCAACAATCTTGAGCATTGCACAGAATCTAAAATCAAAGAAGTATTTAGACTCATATCCATGTGCTCTTCATTGGAGTCTTACCAACATTTATTTCAATGATATAAACCTATATAGCAATCGCCGACTATTCTGTTTCTTTCTCTATACCATGTCTTTATTCACACTTTTTCATCTAGACACTCAACACACTAGATCTCTCGAGCCATAGAACCGGAGCAGCTGAAGCACAACAATTGGCTCATGCATTCCGACACAATACTGTAACTGTCTTTCTCCCTGAATCTATATCATGTCTTTACTTACACTTTTTCATCTAGACACTCATCACCCTAAATCTCAGTTTCAATTGGATCAGAGAAGTTGGAGCACAACGTTTGGGTGATGGACTACGACACAACACAGTAACCGTCTTTCTCTCGTCATCTATATCATATCTTTACTTACACATTTTTCATTTAGACACTCATCATATTAGATCTCAAGCACAATGGAATCGGAGATGTTGGAGCACAACACTTGGCTGATGGATTACAACACAACAGAGTAAGTGTCTTTCTCACTTTACCCCTAACACTTGTTTACTTATACTTTTTCATTTAGACGCTCACCACATTAATTCTCCAGTGCAATGAAATCGGAAATGTTGGAGCACAACATTTGGCCGATACGCTGCAACACAACACAGTAATTGTCTTGTTCTCTTTATCTATATCATGTCTTTACTTACACTTTATCATCTAGGTGCTTATCACATTAGATCTGGAACTTAATAAAATCGGAGATGATGGAGCTCGATATTTGGCTGATGGGCTGCGACACAACACAGTAACTGTCATTCCCGCTACATCTACATCATGTCGTTACTTACACATTTTTCATCTAGACACTCACCACACTAAATCTCTCGTGGAATAAAATCGGAGATGTTGGAGCACAACATTTGGCTGATGCACTGCGACACAACTCAGTGATTGCCATTCTATCTTTATCTCTACCGTATCTTTACTGCTACTTTTTCATCTAGACACTTATCACATTAAATCTCCAGACCACTAAAATCGGAGGTGTTGGAGCACTATATTTGGCTGATGGATTACAACACAACGTAGTAATTTTTTTTCTCCGTTTATATCTACCATGGTTTTACTTACACTTTTTCGTGTAGACACTCATCACTCTAGATCTCTCGTGGAATAACATCGGAGTTGTTGGAGCGCAACATCTGGCAGCTGGGTTACAACACAACAAAGTAAGTGACTTTCTCTCTTCATCTATATCGTGTCTTCACTTACACTTTTTCATTTAGACACTCACCACACTAAATCTGCCGAGGAATAACATCGGAGTTGTTGGAGCGCAATATTTGGCCCATGGATTACACCAGAACACAGTAACTGTCTTTCTCTGTTTATCTATATCATGTCTTTACTTACACTTTTCTGTCTAGACACTTATCACCATAGATCTCTCGGAGAATGTAGTTGGAGATGTCGGAGCACAACATTTGGCAGCTGAGTTACAACAGAACACAGTAACTGTCTTTCTATCGACATCTATATCATATCTTTACTTACACATTTTTCATCTAGACGCTCACCACACTAAATCTCTGGTACAATGGAATCGGAGATGTCGGAGCGCAACATTTGGCTGATGGACTGCGGCACAATAGAGTAACTATCTTCCTCTATTTATCTAGACCATGTCTTTATCTACCCGTTTTCATCTAGACACTCACCACGTTAGATCTCGTGAGCAACAAAGTCGGAGAGGTTGGAGTACAATATTTGGCTGATGGACTGCGATACAACACAGTAATTGCTATTCTCTCTTTATTTATATCATGGTTCCACTTACACTTTCCTATCTAGACACTCATCACCCTAGATTTGTCGAACAATGTAGTTGGAGATGTTGGAGCACAACATTTGGCTAATACATTACAACAGAACACAGTAGCTGTCTTTCACTGTTTATCTTTATCTCGCCTTTACTTGCACGTTTTCATATAGACACTCACCACACTAAAGCTCAGGAGCAACAAAATCGGAGATGTTGGAGCACAATATTTGGCTGATGGACTGCGACACAACACAGTAACCGTCTTTTTCTCTTTATCTATATCCTATCTTTACTTACACTTTTTTATTTAGACACTCATCAGACTAGATCTCTCGGATAATCAAATCGGACATGT